CTCCAGAAGCCTGGAGCTTGTCCCATGCACGTCTATTTTCCAGGGGAGGGAGGGAATCCCCCCAAAACACCACCAAGACGCCTTCTTTTCCCCGAGAAAACAAAAAAAAAAAAACAACAACAACAAAAAAAAAGAGAGCAATCCGATTGCACCGAAGCAAACACCCAAACAAGCAGGAAAAGGTGATAATTGAAAATTGCTAACAGCGTCCCCACGGCGGCTGCTGGCTGTTTGGAAAGGAAATCCGAGTCTTTCACTTAAAAAAAAAAAAAAAAAAATCCCAAAATGTTTAGTTTGGTACCTTGCCCATCAAAATTAATCACAGCGACAGATTAGGAAGTACATAAAACTATATCTCTGGATAATGATATAGGAGAGCACAATAAATAAAAGTTGCACGTTGGAGGTGCTGTCAGGTCTGGGGCGAACCAGTAACTCACTCGTTTAACCCCGGGTGCGTGTTTTGGCTTTTAATTCCAATTAACGCCGGAGAGGAACATTTCCAACCTACGAGGGGTTGGAGGAAATTGCTGGAAGGACCTGTAATGCCGTGTTAACTGCGAGCTAAACCCCCGCTCAACAGGAGAGCCCTGGGGCGACAAAAAGGAAAAAAAATAATAAAATAAAAAAAAAGGGGGGGGAATAAGGCATTTCCAGTGCATAAAAAATAAAATCAAAAAGTTCTCATCAAACTGAGGCTGCTGAGGACCCTCGTCCGCCTGCAGTTATCTCCCCAAAGCATCTCTGGAGCTGTTATTTTCCTTTTTTTCCTTTCTAACAGGCAATACAGGAAGCTAATTTTCTCAGCCTGCTGATGTAAATTTAAGAGGGGTTACCGTTCCTCGCAGGCTCTGGATACAAAGACTTCCTCACGCTTTTTTTTTTTTTTTCTTTTTTATTGCCAGTTAAGCCCTTCGTAAAACGACTTTGCAGCCCTCTTAAAACCCGAGTCCTTAGCGAAGCTAGTTAAAGAGAAGAGGGGGGGGGCGGGGTATATAACATAAAATAAAGACCGAGCTGCGAAAGGAACCGGTAAAAACTTATCAGGGAACTTCAAAACAAATTGGACTCGAAGAACATAAAAGGGGGGGGGGGGAAAGCCCTGGCCTCAGATGTTAATTTGAGCCTCCAGAAACACGTTGTTGCTGGGAGTTTTATAGCCCAATAATCAAAGTAAAGCGAATTATCCGAGCGCTGGACAATGCAGCACCCGGAGGGGGGGGCGCACCTCCTGCAGCCACATCTATAGGTGCCAGGGCCAGGTCTGGGCCATATAGCCCAGGGATGAGCCGGCTCTGATGCCTCGGGGGGAGCAGCTCGTCCTTAACGCACTCCATCCATCCCTGTATCTGGCTGTGTGTCTGGCTGTCCGGCTGTCCCGCAGCTCGCTGGAGGAACCCGGGGTTATTTTGCACCGCTGCCCACAGCCAAATCTCTGCCCCCCCCACCCCACCCTCACATCACCGCTCCCATTTGCAACCTGATTTTTCACCCCCCACACCTCCCAAACTTTCAGAGGCTCCTTTTTGCTCTGCTTTGGGTTCATTTTAAAAAAATATTTAAATTAAATTTTTTAATATAAATTTTTTATTTTTTTTTTTTCCTGAAATGGGGGTTACTTACGTGGCTGGGAGAGCTCCTGGGCCAGCGGGGAGGGAGAGCATCTCTGGAGGAAAAGAAGGGAGAGAAGTTTGCCCGCCACTTCACCCTTCTCTCCCCTTTTCTCCCGGGTTATTTTGGCGAGGAGACAATGCCATAACACGCATCGCATCTGCCCCAGCTCCCCCCCCCGCTCCCTATACACCCCATTACTATGGTAAAAAACCTACAAAGCCTCTAAACAGCGATGGTGCCTCTAAATCTATGTCCGCAGACACAGAAGGTACAACGTTGGGAGAGGCAGCGGGTCAGGAGGGCTCGGGGTCAGCTTGCTCGCCTCCAGTGGAGCTGCCGCCATAGAAAAGTTGGCCTTTCCATGAACCCGGGGTTGCCGTTTACCCGAACTTCAATAAAGTTTTCTTTCAGCCTCTCTACATGGAGGCGTCAAGAGGCTAAAAAGGGGCTGCTCGAGCTGTTTGCAGCAGGAACAGCCATTTTTCCCCTTTTTTTTCCCCTTTCCCCCTCTTTTTTCCCTTTTTTCTTTTTTCCTTTTTTCCTTCTTCCTCCTTTTCCCCTTTTTTCTTTTCTCCATTTTTCCTTTTTTTTTTAATTTTTATTTTTTCTTTTTTCCTTTTTATCTTGTTTCCCTTTTTTCCCCTTTTTTCCTTTTTACCCTTTTTCCCCTTTTTCCCCTTTCCCCCCTTTTTCCCCCTTTTTTCCTCTTTTTCCCCTTTCACCCCTTTTCTCCTTCCCCCCCTTTTTCCCCTTTTGCCCCTTTTTCCTTTCCGTTTTCATTCCCCCTTCTTTATTTCTCTTCCCCCCCACACCTTTTTTTTTTTTTTTTTTCCCCTATTTTTTTCCCCCCCTCTCTACCCATTTTCTTCTATACAGTGCATTAATACTCTCCCCCCCGCAGCCCCCGTTGTGTCACAGCCAAGGCTGAGGGCGATGCTGGGTGAGGACCCTCCGGTGGGCAGCAGGCAGGACCCCGGCCCTGGCTGATGTCCCTGGCACCCAAGGGACATGCCACCCCCGGGTGTCATCCCCAGCACCCCCCTCCACGGGATACACCCAGCCTGGGGAGGGTACAGTACCCTCCAGCAACCCCAAAAACCCAACACACAACTCCAAACTCCAACACCCCCCCCCAAAAAAAGAGGGCGAAATCCAACTTGGAGCGATGCTCCTTCCCCCCCACCCTCCTCCTCCTCCTGGCTCCAGCCCAGCCTGCAGCGATGCAGATGCCCAACTCTGCCCCCCACCCCAGAGGAGATTTGGGGTGCTGCCCTGCCCCAACTCCGGGGCACTGGGGTGCTCTGGGGGAGCACCTACCTCCCAGTACCTGGGGCTGCACTCTCCCCGCAGATTTTTCCTGCATTAAACCTCATTTTCTCCCCTCCCTGGTTCCTCTTCCCCCCTATTTCCCCCTTTTCTGCTTTGATTTCTTGCCTATACAAGAGGATATTAAAAACATCCAAAACCTCACAGGATGGGCTGAGCCTTGGATGCTGTTTACTGACCATCTTTTTATTTTCTTTTATTTTTTTTAAGGCTGGGTTTTATTTGACTTCCCTGCCTCAGCTGTGTGGGCTGGGATCTTCCTTGGGAAAAGCCAAAATCCCAACTGGCTCCCAACACCTTTCCCTGCTCTGGGGAGGATGGGTTTAAAGAGGAGTAATGGTTACATGTCCTGTCGATATGTTTTATCTTTCTACCCTCCTCCTTAGTATCACAAAATCAGGATGTGAAAGGGAAAAAATAATAAAAAATAAATAAACAAAAAAGCTGGCGAGCTTTACATATAAACTCCCCAGGATAAATGAGAACCTTCTCCGCCTCCAGATCCGCATCCCCAGCTCTCACAAAGGGGTTTGAGACCACGATTTGTTCAATGGCAGCTTCAATCGATGTTGGAGAGAGAGGGGAAAAAGAAATAAAGAGGATAAAACCTAAATAAAGATGCTTGCAAAGCCTCCTCTCCAATAACTCTGTGTCCCAGGGCCTGGGGGGGGGGGGGGGGGGCACTTGCAGCAGGCCTTCCTCTCCCAGCCCCCTGCCACTGAGATTTTTAAGCAGCAAACTTCCCAAAGCCAAGGCCTAAAAAAAAATAAAATAATAAAAAGGGGGGGCTCGTCCCCAGCCCCCCCCCACAATACACCCCCTTCTCAGCACAAACACCCTGCACTGGGGGGGGGACGGGATGGGACACCCAGGTTTTTCCCTAAAATCCCCCCACTGCTGCCAGTTTGCAGGCTGCCTCCAAAGGCCAGGAGCAATGAATTACGGTTATTAGCACTATTACTACCATTATTCTCATTATTGTTATTGTTATTATTATTATTTAACAGCCTTTTCATTGCCTGGCAAAATTCAATATGACCTCTTGGCTTGAACGAGTCAACACGAGCGCGCCGCAACAGCAAGAGAAAATAATAACAATAATAATAATAATAATAATAATTAATTAAAAAGCCACGAGAAAAAGTTCAAAGCAGGGAGAGGAGCTAAAACCAGACAATTTTCTGCGGGATGGAAAGAAAATAAAGAGGCATGACTGGAAGCTAACCCCAGTCCACAGCCCTCGTCTGAAAACCCAGATTTCCCTTTTTTTTATCCCCCCCATATTTACAGATTGGGAGGGTCTGAGATTTAAAGTCACTGGCCACGTCGTGATGTCATAAAAATCTGGAGTTGAGAGTTATCTTTAGGTTTGCTTAAACTTAACTTAAGCAGTAACTGGTGCACATGGGATCCATTGCACATCGTCCCAGCATTTTATTATCCTTATTATTATTATTTTGGGGCGGGTTTGCGGGGAGATGTGGGGATAAAATAAGTCACCAGACATAAAAGTAAAACTAATTCACACTGACTGGTTTATTGAACACTGGGACTTTCACATACACACTAAAACTCTTTATTGCAAGTTTACAATGATCATGTAAAATCAGTCCAAAAACACAAATAACCACGACAAAAAACCCTAGCTACTGACTTTTTAAAACCTTCTTCTGCTTTTATTTTTTAAATATGTCACTCTTTCTCTCTCTCACTCCCCTTTTTCTTTTCAATTTCTCAGCAAAGGCTCGTCCACCCTTGTGTGCTGTTTCGTAGCTGCTTTTTGTTTGCCTTTTTTTTTTCTCTCTCTAAATCGTGATTTCTTTTTAAGCTTTTTTTTTTTTTTTCCACATCGCTACAAAAGAACTTCATAGCTCCTTCGCTCATTGTGCATTTGTAATGCAGAGGGGAAAAAAATACCTACATTCGCTTTTTCTGTTTGTTTTGTTTGTTTGTTTGTTTTTTGCAGTCAATATTATCACCATTTCTTCATTTAATTCACCCAACAGAACATTTACCTCTTCCTCCCCCCACCCTGCCCTCCCCTACCCCATCCCCCAGCTTTAAAAAATAAATAAAACCCTGAAATGGCGTAAAAAAAACCCTGCAGGTACAGACACCTGGCCTCATGCTATCTGACATGCATCTAAAGCCCGTGGTCTTGAGGGAGACCCATTGTTTTTTATACGCACAGGAAAAAAAATAATAATAATAATAATTATTATAATAAAAGCAAAACTACGAGGGGAAGGGGAAGGGGGGGAAAAGAACCAAAATATATATATATATATATATATTAGATTCTATAAATAATCCAGAGTCATTTGTGTGCGGGTCTGGGGGTGTTTATAACCTGGTGATATCCTCCGTGCGCGGGTCCTGCGCGGCGGCGGAGGGCAGCTCCTCGCCCGCGGCCGTGCTCGCCGGGGCGGCGGGGGCGGCTGAGGCGCTGGCAACCGCTGCCGTTGCTGCCCGTACTTTGGTGTTAGGCAGCCTGTGGTCTTTTTTCCATTTCATCCTCCGGTTCTGAAACCAGATTTTGATCTGTCGCTCGGAGAGGCAAAGCGAGTGGGCGATCTCGATGCGTCGCCGCCGGGTCAGGTACCTGTTATAGTGAAACTCCTTCTCCAGCTCCAAAACCTGCTGCCTGGTGTAGGCTGTCCTGGATCTCTTGGGTTCGCCTCCATTGTAATTGGGATTCACTGGAAAGGAGGGGAAGGAAAACAAAACAAAAAAAAAAAAAAAAAAAAAAGAAAGGAAAGGAGAAAAAAAAAAAACAAACAACAAAAACACAAAAAAAAAAAAAACACACAAGGAAAATCAGCGTGGATGGAGAGAGGGTCGGGAGAGGCGACTGGAGGAGCCGGGGGAAAAAAAAAAAAAAAAGTAATAGGCTAAATAGGTAATAAAGAACTTTGGGCAGCTCAAGAGTTTCTATTCTAATAGGAAGGGGTTTCCCTGGCTCAAAAGACTGAATTATTTATGCACCCCTTACAAAGCTTTCGGAGTTTCACACATACATAACAGAACGAGCCACATGGCTAAGGCTGCCCACAGTAGCTCGGCTATAAAATTTATGGTGGGTGTAATTACCCATTCGGAGTCGTAAATCCAGTTCAATTGTGCTAACCCAAAGACTCTCATGGAAGGGAAGGAAATAAAAAAAAAAAAAAAAAAAAAAAAAAAAAAAAGAGAGAGAGAGAGAGAGAGGCGAGAGGGAGCGAGCATGGTGTGAAAATAAGAGAGCGGAGAGACAGAAGAGGAAAATAAAAGTTGCATACCAGTACTGACGTGGATTTTTTTCATCCAGGGATAGACTATGGGCTGTTTGGAAGCTGTGCTGGTGGGATGGTCGGGGTTTGGCTGGTTGCAGGCTGGAGGGGCTGGGGAAGGAGTGGTGGAGGAGGTGGATAGAGCAGCCTGCTCGCAGAGCTGCTGTGCTTTCTCTGAGAGGTGTTGGCCTCCTGGAGTTTGCCCGTGTCCCCTTTGGAGCGTGGCCGGGTTGCCGGGAGCCTGGAGACCCCCGCAGCCGAACGGGCGGTCGGGGAAGGAGGGTCGTGGCACTGGGTACAGCTCTTGATGGTGATGCTGGTAGCTGGACTCCCTTGTCCGGCTATAATATTCCGGACTGTGGTCTGGGATGTAATTATTTTGCGAATATTCCTCGCATGGAGGAAATTTCGGATCGATGTAGTTAGAGTCCATCAAATAAGAGCTCATGATCATTAATTTCTGGAGTGGAAAATAATTTTTCTCGCTTTGTCGTTTTTCTGCTCCATAAAGCCCTCCTACTAGCTGGCGACCCCGTAAAGTTACTTTCACCATGTGACATCCCCGGCCAATCACACCCGCCAGCCCAGTCCCCGGATAAGGAACCAAAAGCTTCTGCAAAATGTACCCAAATTGGGGGGGGGGGGGGGGGGGGGGGGGGGGACGCGGCGTGGGAGTGGGAGTGGGTGCGCGGGGAGAGCCGGGGAGCTGCGCTTCGGGGCGAGGTGCTGGGTGCGGGGGTCCCTCAGCGCCCCCTCGGCTGCTGGGAAAGGGGGGGGGGGGGGCGGGGGGTGAGAGGGGGGGCACAGGCACACACACACAATGGGGGACCCCCCCCCCCCTTGGGATTGGGGGGGGAGTGCGGAAGGGGGAGGGTGAATGGGGGTGTTGGGGGACACTGGGCGTCCCCCCGCGGCCCGAGCTGGGAACAGTGACACCCCATACCCCCCCCCCCCCTCGACCTGGGTGGGAGTGAATGTACGTGTGACCCCCCCCTCCCCTCCCAAGAGCTGCACTGACCCTTCCGACCCCCCCAAACTCTACCCTCCGGCAGCCCCCCCCCCCCCCCCAAGGCTGGGGAGGGGATAGGGCAGGTTGGGGACATCCCTCCATCCCCTGCCCACCCCCCCCCCCGCAGCCCAGACCCCCCCCCCCCCCCATCCCAGAGAGGAGAGGGTTAAACACCGTCAGCACCTCTTTTGGGGGGACAGGGGGGGGGTGTCAGTTAAAAAGTAGAGGCGGGTGTACAGATCCAATAGTGACCCTCCCTTAAATCACCGGGGGGGGGGGGGGGGGTGCAGCCCCTCCCTGCCTGCAACCAGCGGCACGGGCAGGGCAAAGCAGGGGCTGCCCCCCCCCCAAAGGCAGGGGGACACCCCCCCCCCCTCCCCAAATTGCCCCCGCCTTGCTCAGCCCCGGCCTTTGGGAGCAAGGAGGGGGGTTGTTTTGTTTTTGTTTTTGTTTTTGTTTTTTTGAGGGGGGGTGGGGGGCAGCACCCTGCTTTTTCCTCAGCCCTGGGTGCTGCAGGTAACGCACCCACGGGGTTCCACGTCCTCGCGTGTGCAGCACCCACGGGTGTGCACATCCCAGGCCGCTTGGCCCTGGCTTTCAGCATTGACCTCCCCACGCTCGAGCTCTGGTATATGTAGAGAGATAAATAAATATCTATTATTTTGGGGGCAAGGCTGGAGGGATGCGTTAAAAATGGCTCCCACCTCCCCGGCGCAGGTCGGGGAGCTGCAAATGGATGTCAACATTTTGGGAGGGTTTTACCTCCCTCAATTAAAGCTTGCTTTTTTTTTTTTTTTTTTTTAATTTTCATTTTTTTATCTCTATCTCGCCCTAAAGAGGGGCAGAGGAGGGAGGTGGGGTATTCCCTCCTTGTGCTTGATAACAATTATAGTCGAAAATCATAGCTTGCAGGGCATTGCCATATTTTACTTGATAACAATAAAAGTGACACATAAAGTTAACTGTTTATGTTTTATTTATTAGACTAAATGTGCCAGCGGTGTCGAAGGCTTTTGGCTGGTTGTTACAGCTTTTTATGGGGTTGTAAAACGCCATAAATCAGTCACTGCGAAATGGTCGGGGCTCTTTGTGCTCTTGGCTGAGAGTTGTGTTTGCGGTGGCTGCTGTTTCTTCTGGAGATGAAAAGTAATAATGGGATTTTATTTTGATTATTATCACCCCCCCACACACCCCAATCATCGCGGTGATTTTGCTTTTTACCTTTTTTTTTTTTTTTCTTTCCTATTATTATTATTATTATTAACAAGCCCTGGCAAACAGCAAACGCCGCTTTCGCACTTTGACTAAACTACCTTTAGGAAATGACATCAGCAGGGTTTGAGGATTTAATTAGGAGCGCTGCAATTAAAGGAAAGCAGAACTTTCCAAGGCTCTGGCATCGCCCATATATTCCCCTAGAGACGAATTTGTGACTGGGAGACGCTCACACAAATTCGAGTCTACAGGGTACATATAGGCGACGGGGAGGGTTGGGGGGGGGGGGGGGGGGGGGGGGGGGCAAAGGGGGGGGCTGAGCCCCCCTCGGGCATCAGCTCCGCATCTAGTTGGGCACTGGGACATGGAATAAGGCGTTTTCTGGCTTTATTTGGCTTGGGGGGAGGAGGGGGGGTATTGGCGGCTGATTTGCAGGGTTTCGCTAATTGCTGGCCCCGTGCACCGGCGGAGCCTCCTCCCTCCTAAAGTTGTAAATCCCGGAATTCCATATAGAAACGCCTATATATATATATATATATACACACACCTATAGAAGGTAAAATCCTTGCTCTTCCCAGAAAGGTTTCGGGGATAAGGAGAGAAGGGGAGGGGGGGGATGAGAGCTGCGAGGTTGGGGGAAAAAAGACATGAATAGAAATGTATTCCGGAACCCAAAACATTGATTTAAATATATCCAATAAATTCCTTTTCTCCAGCAATACTTCATTCTGCCCAAACACCTCAGACTCATGCAGGGCTTTGACATTTATAGTTCAGACTGATGCAACAACTTTATTCCAAGGCTGAGGGAATATTGAATAAAGATGGAGAGTTAATAAAGTAATTTTTACCTACGCACATCCTTTCCCCCCCCCCTCTGAATATATGGTTTTCAATAAGCACCAGCAGAATAAATAAATATCCACAGGTAGTTCTCTTAAGGCTGTGCTGGATGTTTTGTTTTTGGTTGTTTTTTTGTTTGTTTGTTTGTTTTTGTTGGTTTTTTTTTTAAAAAAAAAGGGAAAATAAAGCACGAAACAAAACGGCAGCAATCAAAGCATTAAAAAATTCAGGGCGTGAAGGTCACAAACTGAGCGGCTCTGGACTCTCTCGCTTTCTCAGGGGGGAAACGCAACTTTATTTGCACCGTCTGCCTCCCCCCACCCCCGATTCCTACCCAAAGATCCCTATTTTTGAGGACTCATTTCTCCATCCTCTTTTCTCCACTTCCCTTCATCCCCTCGGTGGGTTTGGGGGGGCTGCCCCCTGATTTCTCACAAGTGGATCAAAAAAAAAAAAAAAAAAGAAAAAAATAAAACCCCCGGATTTCTTACAAATGCACCCAAAAAATCCTATTTTCTCCTTTTTATTGAATATGGATTAATGTTTCCCCCCTTCCCTTTGCTTTTTAACCGGAGTTTAGAGCTGTACCTCTTGCTGAAGTGTTTGGATTTTTTATTTACTTAATTCCGCCCCCCCCCCCTTTTTTTTTTTTTTTTTTTCTCTGTAAAATAAGTCTGCAGGGACGTGTGAAGAATAGTTGTACAAGAATCTGGCTCTTTTGTCTATAAAGCAGCCCTCCCACCGCTCTCCATCCCTCGTCCCCCCACCAGCACAACCGTGTCGAGAAACACTTTGGGAGGGACAAAACCCAGAGAAACGCAGCACCTCGGCAGAGAAAAAAAAAAAAAAAAAAAAAAAAGAAAAAAAAATTAAATCTCATTTTGAGCTTTATTTCCTTTTCCTACCTAGGATGAGGGCTGCGAAATATAGATCTGGTTACCATCGCGGTGACATTTTTAAGTACAAAGCGCCTTTTTGACAGTACTGAAGAAAAATAAGTATGCATTGTCTCTCCGGATTCATTGTGTTGGCTATTACCATACTGACCGTTTGGTAACCTGTACCTCAGCCCATTAGCAATCTGTGCTTTCCAGAAAAAAATGAAGTACCTATCTACTGGGGGTTTGTTATCCCGTGTTTAATAATAATAGGAAAAGCGGGGTAAAAGCTCGCGGTGGATGAACTCTGCCTCCTTCAGATGCGGGAGGTGGGAATCAATTTTGGAGTGGCGTTTTATTCCGAGCTTGTTTTAAGGTGATTATTGCACAGTTACTGGTAGGAGAACTAAAAACCTGGATATATGTTTATTTTTGTGATTATTTCTTTTACTAGTTGGGTTTTCTCTGCCATAGGCAATGACACGTAATTAATTAAATTTTATTTTTTTCCTACCAACTCGAAAGCAGTGAGTGCAAAGAAGACCTTTTGCTTTTTGTCCCTTCCTAACGCAAGTAGACAAGGTCTAATTTATGCAAAGAAATATGCAAATGTTTAATTGATTTTTTCCTTAAATCTGTTGTCAGTAAAAGTAATGAATCGGCCTAAAACGATTTTAATAAGCAAAGCCTGTCACCCAAAGTCCTAGCCTTCACATTTTTCTTTTGAGCCTCTTTCGTCTCAAAGCAACTAATAATGTAAATATTTATCCCTTCATTTTATCGTATTAAAGACGAATCTCTCTTGTTTGCGAAAGACCTACAAAAAATAAAATAAAATATGCAAACCAGTTTCTCCATCTCTCCCTCCCCCCCCTCCCCTTCTCACCCCACCCAGGAATTCAATTTTCTTCAAATCTCGTTGAAAGTGGCTTTTTAAAAAGTGGGCGCATTTTAATATTGGTTAGACAGCGTGACCTGAATTTCACCTCAACTGTTTGACTTGATCCAATAGGTCACTGCCAAGGAGTTATTGATGGGGGAACTCCATTGAAATTTCTCTCCTCACAAATGGCCTTTAGATCTTCTAGCGAGTTCAATAACTAGTTATAATGTAGAAGGGGAAAAATGAAGCCCAGAGGCAAACTAATTTGATGTTTCATTTTTATGCTGGAGAAATTGTTGGTTTTTGTTCCTCTCGCCTCCCGCTCTGCCCCTCTTTGCCTCTCCAAAAGGGGGGGGGGGGCAGTGTGGAAAAAATAAAAATAATCTGGTTTGTGCAAAGCCCCCTCTGAGCTGAGGTTTGTCTGTGCTAGAAATATCTGCTATTTTATTTATATTTTAATTGGCACTGGTGCTTCAGCCCGGGAACTCCTCGGGACTCAGAGAAGAGGGGAGCCCAGCAAGACTAAAACTTGCTGCTTGGTAGGAAGCACACTTTTTATTTCTTCTTCTTCATTTTTCTTCTTTTTTTTTTTTTTTCCTCCCTTTTTTTTTTCTTTTTTTCCTTTCCCCCTTTTTTTTTTTTTTTTTTTTTTTTTTTTTGTTCGGAAAGCTTTTGTTTAAACTAAATCAAAGGCACCAGTAACCAAGTTATACCTCTCTCCTCTCCAACTTGCGCGGTTCAGCAGGCCGGGGCAGAGCCAGCTCTGCTCCCCAGCAGCAAATCAACCTCCTCAAGACCCGCTCGCAACCGGAGCGGAGCAAAAAAACCCCACACTCATTTTATTCCCCGGGTTTTTATTTGTGTGCTGGGTCGCCCTAGTTCATGTGGCCACATCTGGGCCCTTCCCTGGTTTGTTGGGCTTGGGGAGGGTTTTGTCCCTTTTGCTTCCTTCAGATTAATTTTTTTTTAAGCTTAAAATATTTATTTGAATTCCGGGGGAGGGAGGGGGGCAGGGGGATGTTATTGGAGTGGGGGGGTCTGAGAGGCAGAGGAGGACTCAGCCAGAAGATGCTTTTAAGTGATGTATATACAGGAGCTAAGATTTCTCCTTGACTTT